CCATTTACCATACTTGGCAGCACTGTACCAGCAGTAAAGTCAATACAAGTTCCTGGAATCCACTATGTCCCAGGACCTGAAGTGGAGGTTACACTGTTTGTTGCTGTTAATACTGCTTATTTTGATATACTAGCCTTATGTTGGCTTACTCTTTATTTGCCCTTTGCATGGGGATATGTACATGCACATTGAGCGCCGATGTACCAGAGTCAAAGTCCTCGTGTGTCCGACACACCTGGCCAGTAAAGCAGATTCTGATTCTGATTATCTTTAATAAATACCCTGTGTTTGTGCCAGTTGTGTTTGTGAATGATCTGAAATCAGCCTGTGCTGGTTCCGTGATCTACATGGCAGGTCGACAGCTGAGTAAGTAGTGGCCTCAGGAAGATTCTGAAATGCTCAGAGACCTGGTGCATAATGACCGCACTGAGAGGAGTGCTGATGTAAACAGATCCAGCATCAGTTTGTTGTGTTTCAGTTGTGACAGTGTGAATGAAGCGAGCGCTGCACGTGCTGCTGTTGCAGAGGGTCAGCTACTTGGATAACCCCTCTGTACGGTGTTCTACTAGACTGACAGACTTACTGTTAGCCAGGTAACGCTAGGCTGCATTTTGCTATTTGTCCGAAACCAGGCATCTGTGGTTCATGTCGCAGCTTCAGGAAACACAATGGGAGGGGCAGAGAGTGGTTAGGAGTGGTTTATGGAGTCAGTTTGCTGGAGTCTCACTAGAGCCTCGAGACTGAAGAGATGTGAGGTAGAGGAGCTGGAAGCACCTTGGCCATTTAAAGAATGCAAACATGATTGGTAATAAATTTAAAATGTAAAGCATCATATTCACTGAAATAATCAGCGTCTATAGAGGACTTCTGCAATTTGACCTGACCTTGAGGCTCAGTGTCAGGCTCAGGGTCTGATTGCAGCAACACACCAGGTGTGACTGAGTTTCTACACATACTGATCAATGTAATGAGCCGATATGCGTGAGGTATGCTCAGACAGATGTTTACTGAGAGATTTATGTGAACAGGGTGAAGATCTGGGAATTTTTCCCCTCCTGTCCTGGTCTAACCGGGGTCATAGTGTGTCTCCTCAGAGTCAGACGCTTCCTGTCGGTGGTGATGGCACAGGTGACATCCACACCTGGTCAGATTCTGAAACACCTGTTGGCAGAGCACAGTGGAGTTTCAGCATGAACAGTGAAGCTGCAGTAGCTCAGGCTGCCATTCAGACCTGCAGCAGCCATAAAGCTCCTTTTATTCATCCAGCAATCCAAATGATCCATGTTCTCATAAAGCAAAGATAAAGTGCAGTAAAGGACAGTCTTCTGTCAGTATGGAAAGATTTCAGACCCTTTCAAGTTTTCCACATTTTGCTATGCTTCAGACTCATCTTAAAATGGATTCAGTTTAATTTTCTTTGGCACAAATGGGTGTCTGAACATGACCTGACAATAAAAAGTGCTCAAAGCTCATTTTACTGCCATTATTAACACATCTGACACAGACTTGGCTCAGGCCTGTGGCTCCATGGCGTTCTCCACACTAACTGTTCTACTACAGGTTTCATATTCTCATTTTTATGCCAAAGAAACATTAAGTGAAGCCAAAAAAATCCACTTATTCCTCTGTGACTCTGGTGCAGTATCTCTCACCCTCAGGTTGACCTTTTGAAATTACAACCATTCCAAAGAAACCACAGTTATGGTTTCAACCAAAAGGCTGGAAGAACAGTGACAGTGCTGTTTTAGGGTTGTTCCTGGAGCTGAGTGGGCAATGGGTTAACCCACTGGATGTGTGTGTTACTGAAGATTCCAGTGGATGAAGAATGAGTCCTTGGTATTTGTGAATTTAATTAAAAATGAATTTTAATCACCTGAATTGTTCTTTAAATCATGTGATATTAGTAGTTTCCTGTTTGATGTCACCACTGTGGGACTACAGAGCGACTCACCGTCCTGATCTTCCATTCTCAGTTGATGATGCGTTTTCTGTCTGTGGAGGAAATGCGTTTCTGGATCTGCAGGTTATAGAGAAACAAAATCCGCTTCTTCTCCCTCTGTGGAACACAGACACACACAGAAGGCTTATTATTAGAGTCAGAAGCAGACAGAGAGAACCTGCACGCTGCCAGTAAATATTTATTTACAGGACAGCATTGGAGTTCAGGTTGGTCTTAAAACAATACTGAAGTCCCCACATGTAGGTGACTTAACTTTTCCTACTCTCCATAGCGGCACTGGCACCTTTCACCCAGGCTATAGTGGGAGAAATATGGGACAAATACTCGTCTGAAACTCAGATGATGCTTCAGCTATCTCACTAAGCCAAGTTGATCACTGTATTTCAAAGGTTTACTCTGAGACAAATTTTCATCCCCAGGAAGTGGCTCCTGGCTGAGCTGTGGTGGAGGCTGTGGATGTGGCCCTCCCCGCTCCTCGTGTTCCAGGTGAGAACATTCAGGCTCGGTGTGGAGAGAGGAAACATTACAGCGACTGAGCCCGTTCTCACGTATTTACGGGCACCGCAAGATCAAAGATCCTGAGCCTGTCCTTTAGCAGCATCCTCTGTACTGAACACACCAGCTGACAAAGTGCTGACTGTGCAGAAAGTGTTTCCATGACAACATCTTTCATTCATCTCTCTCCCTGTCTCTCTACCATGGCTTGGCTCATTTATAATGCTCTTACATTAATCTGCTCTCAGATCAGACTGACTGCAGCTAGCATGGAGTGAGTGTGTGTGTGTGTGAGTGTGAATGACATTGAGCTTTGTTTGCTTCTTCATCAGCACAGGAGAGGAAGTGACATCATCAGCGTAACATATGTACAAACTCAAAGACTCAAGTGTTTCTTTTGTTTACACTGAAACATGCTCATGCTTCCTCTGGACAGGGGCAACAACTGAAATTAAATCATCAGATGTTTCACACCCGGAGAAAATAGTTCAGCTTTGATTTCCTCTCACCTGGAAAACTGCCTTTAAAAACACCCAGAACTTGTAAGGTACTCAGAATTTTTACTTCTGTAAAGGGTAGCAATACCACTGTGTAGAAATACAGTATTTGCAAGTAAAATGAACAAGTAAGAACAAATGAGTTTTAGCATGACAATACACTTGAAGTACCAAAGGTGTTTGATGCTAAAGTACTCAGAGGTTAGCCTTGGGAAGACTGAAGTACATGGGTACCCAGTATGAGAGCACTGATACTCCTCAGTCAGCCACAGGTGTCCTAAAGTACTGGGTATCAACACCTGCATGTTCCTGCTTTGTGACTTTGTGAGTAATAGATTTTTTGGGATTATTCATGTGCTCATCACTTTCATGTTGCAGCTGTTAATCTGAATGACTTTCTATGCAGCTGAGTGGTTTGTAAATTTCTCCCTAAGCAGTGAAGTTTTATCATTATCTGATAATAAATCAGAATTAACTGGCTGCTGATAATGTGTTTTATTCATCGGATTCCAACAGGTGTGTGTGTGTGTGTGTGTACCTTTGGGTGGTAGAAGGCGGCGATGACCCGTCGCAGGCGGTTGGTGTAAACCTGAAGGCAGCTGAGCAGCGCCACCAACAGGACACAACACACACAGCTCACATACACATTTGCAGCAAGCAAGGAGGGGGGAAACACACAACCTGAGGGGGGACAGAGGGGGGGACACTGTGTTGTACACTCATATTTGTATATGTTAATATTTGTAAACATTTGTTATAGTTGTACATTTATCATCTGTTAAACTGTGTTGTCCCAGTGAGAGGAACCGGTAGAGAGACAAAGACAACAGGAGAGAGACAGGACGTCACTGTAACAGTTTTGAATGCAGGACTGTTACTTGTACAGTGTGGCAGTGACAGTGATGTTACCTGAACCTGCTGCAAAGCAATGGACACAGTTTCTAGACCTGTGCTTTGATACATACAGAAAGAAACTGAGGGCTGCAATTTTTAAATCATGTTTGACAAACAGAGACAATCCTTTAGGTTCAGCGAAGCTGATTTGTAAAGTCACTTCACAGGTGTGTAGAAGGAGCCTGGTGGAACCTGGGACCTACCCTGGTTGTCAGTGTGGATGTGGAGGTTGGACGAACTGTTGAACGCTGAAACTGTCTTCTGCAGGAGGCGGGCCATCATGGAGGTCCCGCCCACTTTGATGTCCACCTGGTGACCACCTGCAGGGAGGGGGCGGAGTCAGAGAAGTAGAGCGTGAATCACAACACTTCAAATTTTATGCAGGCTCTGGACCTCTACTGGCCACCAGAGGTAACTTCATAACCAAACAAATGAACGTGACTGTGAACAGCGCTAACATTTTCTTATATCCCGTCACTTTGGAATGGCAAAAAGAGTAAAGCCAACAATTTTTTTCTCATCAACATAATATTTAATGCACATCCAGCTAGTGCAGCTGTTCCTTCATCAACAGAAGCAACAATAATGGTCAAGGAGTAAAATAATGACACTCATATCAGTACAGAAGTTTGCATCCCCCTTTATGAAATGTTCTCTAACACTCTGTACATCCTCCCTAAGCTCCTCCAACCTGTCTGAGTTCCCTATGAGCAGCATTTGGATCCTGCATACACATTTGCAGCAAGCAAGGAGGGGGGAAACACACAACCTGAGGGGGGACAGAGGGGGGGACACTGTGTTGTACACTCATATTTGTATATGTTAATATTTGTAAACATTTGTTATAGTTGTACATTTATCATCTGTTAAACTGTGTTGTCCCAGTGAGAGGAACCGGTAGAGAGACAAAGACAACAGGAGAGAGACACGACGTCACTGTAACAGTTTTGAATGTAGGACTGTTACTTGTACACTGTGACAGTGATGTTACCTGAACCTGCTGCAAAGCAATGGACACAGTTTGTAGACCTGTGCTTTGATACATACAGAAAGAAACTGAGGGCTGCAATTTTTAAATCATGTTTGACAAACAGAGACAATCCTTTAGGTTCAGCGAAGCTGATTTGTAAAGTCACTTCACAGGTGTGTAGAAGGAGCCTGGTGGAACCTGGGACCTACCCTGGTTGTCAGTGTGGATGTGGAGGTTGGACGAACTGTTGAACGCCGACACTGTCTTCTGCAGGAGGCGGGCCATCATGGAGGTCCCGCCCACTTTGATGTCCACCTGGTGACCACCTGCAGGGAGGGGGCGGAGTCGGAGAAGTAGAGAGTGAATCACAACATTTCAAATTTTATGCAGGCTCTGGACCTCTACTGGCCACCAGAGGTAACTTCATAACCAAACAAATGAACGTGACTGTGAACAGCGCTAACATTTTCTTATATCCCGTCACTTTGGAATGGCAAAAAGAGTAAAGCCAACAATTTTTTTCTCATCAACATAATATTTAATGCACATCCAGCTAGTGCAGCTGTTCCTTCATCAACAGAAGCAACAATAATGGTCAAGGAGTAAAATAATGACACTCATATCAGTACAGAAGTTTGCATCCCCCTTTATGAAATGTTCTCTAACACTCTGTACATCCTCCCTAAGCTCCTCCAACCTGTCTGAGTTCCCTATGAGCAGCGTTTGGATCCTGTCAGGTGTAACTTTAGCCCATTCTTCATGTCAGATTTGCTCCAAGTTGATCAGATCGCTTGGTTGTCTGCAGTGTACAGCCCTCTTCAAGTCAATCCACAGTTTTTTAGTGATACTGTAACTGCTCATTTCAAACTGAGGGGATGCAAAATTTTGTACTCAACTGTAAAAGCAGTTTGTGTGTGCATGTGTGTGTGTTTACTGGTCACGTTCAACTGGGTGAAGGTGTGTCTGCTGACGATGTCCAGGACGTGGAACAGAGCAAAGTCGACAGTCAGCAGGATGACACACAGCATAGAGACATACAGCACCTGACACCAGCTGGACATCTGACAACACACGTCTCCATTATTAAAGAGATGCCGCACTGATTTACATTTGTTCTCTAGACACTGATACCACCAGTCTAACCCAACCCGAAACTTAACCACAACCTAAAGCTGCATCCACATCCCAGATCTGAAGTTTCCCTCTCAGACCTGATGTGCCCACAGCAGTGTGAACAGATCAGATCTGGGCCACCTGCATATGTGCTCCTAGATCCAATGCCTATCTGGAATAAATCTCCTTTAGGAGCTCAGCGGTGTTCACATCGGAGCCGGGTACTTGTCACTGACACATATCAGAGCTGAGCATTATGGGGCTGAGATGTGGACGCAGCCTAAGTCTTAACTTTTACAAATTTTCCCTGAGTTGAAAACCTAAATGCACCTGTGGAATTTAGTTTGGAGCCAATCAGGGTCCAGCATGAAACAGACACAGCGTGATGTACAAACAAACACTTGGAGACATCTGGTGTCCAGCTGTTATACTTTAGAAACTATTTTTACATGAGGCAGGAGGAGACATAATGTTTTCACCAAGGTGACTGAACATTTCTGTTCATAAAAAAACATTAGACACAAATTATTCAGTTTCATAAAACATGTCTTGAGATGGTCTTTTGTTTTGTGCACTGGTTTCCACCCACCACTGCTTTGAGCTCATCGGGGTAGATTCTGAGGCTCCAGGGGTTGATGAACTTCTTCTTCTCTGATGGTTTCAGAGGCAGCAGACAGCGCTTCCCCTGCAGGGACCAGGCGATTATTGTAATGTGGAGGAATATGATTATCTGTTCTCTTCATCGTGATGCAGTGATGATGATGATGATGATGATGATGACGTGTTACCGCTTTCCTCCTGCGGGTGTCAATCTGTCTGAAGTAGGTGGTGATGTAGACGTTGTCAAATCCAATGTCCCTCCTGTACTGTCTGACGTACCCAAACGCCCTGAGGAAGAGGGGGAGAGGAAGAGCGCATGTTAATCTGTGACTGTGACAGAAAGCTGACCTTATAGTTTGGACCTTGCTGGGTGAAGATGGTGAGGATGATGAAGGTGTGAGGCCTACTGGATGAAGATGGTGACAAAGGTGAAGGACAGCAGCAGCTGGAGGACGTTCACTGCCTGTCCCATTGTTGTTGTCAGTTTTTGGAAGGACGCTGTGACACACTGAGTGAACTCCTGATCCATCAGAGCTCCACCCAGCACCGCATGCTGCTGCTCCTGCAGGGGGCCACAAGTTGGGGGACAAAAATTCTAAGAACAGTCATCACTCTGTACAGTGTCTGCAGTAAGACAGAGCTGCTGGTCTCTGATCTGGTCACACTGCTCCACTAGCATCTGCACAGACCAACATGTTGGAGCTGGCTGTTGGAAACAGATGCTAAGAACAGTCATCACTCTGTACAGTGGACGTCTACGGCACAGAGCAATAAGCTGGACCAGGGTCTGGACTCACACATTACGATGAGGACACCATTGTACTGTGGTGCTGCTGGTCTCTGGACAGGGTTTGTGCACAGTAACACACACATACTAAATCACCTGGTGCATCCCTTGGCACAGTTCAGAATGTGCAGGAAAGGTACTGGATTCATGGTGTGGTTCTGACCTGCAAGACCAGCTCAGCGCTGAACTCTCTGGACAGCAGGTCGACCGACACATTCAGCTGATCAAACAGCTGACCGAAGTTTCCCTCAACAGGAATTTGCTCTCTGCACCATGGAGTCATCACTGACAAAGAAGTAGAGGAAGAAGATTCGTGTTTATCATCAGTTTCACCACAAATCATCAAGCACATTGGTGTTGCCTCACTTTCTGTGCTCCAAGCTGCACTTGAACACACCACAGACCACAGCTGGTGTTATGATTCATAAAAATGGCAAGGCTAATCAAACACATTGTCAGTCACTAGTATTACCAGCTAAATATACTTAAAGTATCAGCAGTAAAAATACCTGTTGGACAGTAAAATTACTTTGGACTATACACAATCATCAGATCATTGATCCTGAGTCATCAAAGCTTCAGCAGCATTTTCCTGTTGGAGCTGGTTTTAACTACTTTAGTGAAAACCAGATCATTTAAACAGTTACTGAACTGAAACCTGACATTGAGCCACAGCCACACACCGATTTTAAAAACGTCACTAGACAGAAAGGTTGAGGAAAATACAAGACAAGTACCTCAAAACTGTATTTAAGCACAGTGAGCAAACTAATTCTGTCTCAGTGTATCCAGGCCTTTAAGGGACGACCACTCTGTATGAGATTTAATAACACGTTTGACCTGTAACAACTCAGTCTAAACCATCCATGACTTCAGTAGAGGACACCTGCAGCAGTGGTCTGATGTCACCCCAAATCACTTCTACCTTTTGACCTGTGAGTAACAAATCCTGAGTTTATGACTGAACCTGAATGCAGCACACTGAATCTGAGGGTAGTGGTACATTCAGTGGAGACCACAAACGTTCAGCAGCCAGGTGACCTCTCACCTCTCATGATGTCGCACAGGAAGTGGAACTTCATGGAGCTGCAGAGGATGTGGTTGATGATGGGGACAGGTATCTCCTCCAAACACTCCTCCCACCGCTGTTGGAACCAGTCAGCACAGCGCTGCACACCCATGTCCACCACACCTGGATCAATTTTACAGTTATGCATATTTCTCCTCTATAACCCAGTGCCTCTAATCCTGATCTCTGACTCACTGTTGCAGTGCATCATGGTCTTTGCGGCAAACTGCTGCTGTGTGCTGCCGGTGGCGGCAGCAGCATTGCGTTTCGGGGTGAATTGGTCGTAACCGTACTGGGAGACGATTTCGTCTCTGATAGTCTGAAACTTACTGCTGATGCTCAGAGCCTCCGACTGAAACGCCGATTTACTGTCCTGAACAGGAAACAAGAGACATGACCACTGATCACTCCCAGCTGAAACTGCTGATGACCTGTGTTTGGTAACAGTTTCACTGTTTTGCATTCAGTCTTCTATCTTAAAAAGAGAAACAGGACTTTTGCACTGTAAATTTGTTTAAATGAAAGGCTTAAGGAAATATCTGTGAAAAATTGAGTAGAACTATGAACTTAAGGTCTGACAATAATACATAAAACTCTGTACTGTCTCTCCTGTAAATAACAGAAGCAGTAAAATGCAGCACAGGATAAGCAACAGCCTCCTCCAGGTAGTTTGATGTTCATCTGACTGTAAAATAAATCACATTTTTAAGGAAAACAGGAGCCTGAGTTTCTGCTTTGGAAGAAGAGGAAGAACAGTCCCACATCTGCAGGAAAGTGCTGTAGTTGTAAACTCTTGTCCTAAAGTTCTTTTACACTTCTTGTGAGATATAATTACATGTGGCTGTGAGAAATGATTCCTGCCAAAATTTCTAATGGAAATAAGCTCAAATATCAAAACTGTTGAGGGTGTATTCAAGGTAAACTCGTGCCTGGTTTTTCAGGGATAATGTCAAACGCCATTTTGTCCCGTTGTTTTCTAGTTTACTTGAGTTACAGATGAATGAGCAGGTACTGTAATTGTTGGTGTGGTGACATGTACGTCTCCTGACCTTTGTCCAGTTTCCTGTGAAACAGTCTGACGTGTCATGCTGCCTACAGGCACGTGAGTCTCACCATGAGCTCCTGTGTGATGAGTAGAAACGGTCTGACGGCGTCTCTCCACAGCAACTTGCTGTGATTGACCTGCAGGTCCAGATTACAGCTCAGGGACAGAGCAGCTTTCTCAATGTTACGCTGCATGTTAGAAACTGGTCCTGGAAATTCATCAGGAGACACACGTCACAGCATCACAGCTCATTAAAATAAAGCACAATACAGCCTGGAGACACCTCACAATACATAGGTTCATTTGTAAAAAAGGCTCAGTCATTTCCTGAAACAGCTGCTCACTTCAGTTTTTAGTTGTTTCTAAATCAGCTGAAGGTGACTGTTGTCAAGCACCACTTTCTTTAGACATTTAGCAAGTAGTTGAAATCATCCTGCAGTGTGGGACATCTGTACATCACTGTGTAGCAGTGGCTGCTGTTTGCAGTGAGCTAGCAGGTGAAGGCATCACACCCAGCTGTGTGTGGAAAGTGCTGGCTCCAGGAGGAACTGATGGCACCAACTGTGGACTACAAACCAGCTCAAGTGCCACTGGCTCCACTTTATGGACAGCCTGTGATTTCAGTGTGCTATGAGAATGAACTGTCTGCCCGTTTAGCAGGGTATGGACAATGTCCTGTAAATACGCTAGCTGTGGCTGAAGACGGGCCCAGGGTTTGGCTGCAGGCAACGCCGGTGAAGAGTTGAGTTCCTGTTGTGTTTGTTGAGGTGTTTTCATAGACTGCTCCTACTGGCTGTGAGAGTTTTGTTGCACATACAATCACACATTATATCATTTCAGTCTCTTTGTCTTTGCCTTTGTCAGAGGAGGACAGGAGTGAACAGAGAGAAACAGGGCTGCACACACCATCATCAGTTACAGCAAAGCCACATCTCCTCGCTGCCTGTGTACCAACATAAAAACTTACCTTAAAATGCTCCAGCATCTTACACAGTCTAAGCTGCTGCCAGTTGAGAACCAGGTTGCAGGGGGTGTTTACCTCTGTGCAGCAGAGACAGGATGATCACCATCAGGTACGCGTGGCCGCGGGAGCCGAGCATGCTGGGAAACATCAGGAGGAACGAACACCTGAAGAAGGAAGACAAGGCTCCGGCTACAACGCACAGAGCTGGAGCACAGGGGTGTGTTCACAGTTCAGCCAGGAGCTGTGAATGAGTTTCATGTAACAGATGTGAGCGTGACAACTTCTCACCAACAAACATGACTCCGGTCCCCAGCTTCAGGTCAAAGGGTGGCGGGAGGTTGTTGGAGAGTCCCAGGAACAGGACTGAGGGACAGACAGAGAATACATAGACTCTCAGCTCCCCTGTAATCACAAACTGTGGTACGTCTGTTTGTGTTCTGGTCAAACTAACAAGATCTTCTTTTGCCTCATACTCCTGCTCCACTACATGTCAGGGGGAGCGACGTGACTGCATGCGTCTCAAAGCCCACAGGTAAGAGCCCAACTTTGAATTACAAACATAATGTATAGTACTGTTTATAAACTATTTTTATTCAGCTCCACCTTAATAATAATCAAATAACTCATCAATAATACATAGAACAATTTGCATAATGAGTTTTTTAAAGTGTATATTTTAAGGACATTTGCTGAAAATACTTTTTCACGAGTGACATGTTGAATGCAGGTCTTGTACTGGAGTATCTTCTTACTGGTGCATCACTACTAAAGGATGTGAACATGTTTCCACCTCTGGCTAAAAGGCATTTTGATATAATCAGAGCAGAAATAATACTCTGCTGTGAAGTGAACGAGGTGGGCGAGTAGGAAAGGAAATGAAAATAAAATGTTTTTTATAATGAATTTTGATAATGTTTTCTAATAAAATAAAACCAAAATAACAGATAAAAAATTTTTTATATGCAAAGGAAATGTGTGTACGTCATATTAAAAATTATTTTACAATATTTTTTAAAAATGCACTTAATACCTGAGCGCCTTATTTATGTGCCTGTGCTTGGGGCGGGTCGGGCGGTGTTACCTGTGCCTCTCACTCCTCCAAACAGCGCCCTGAAGGCCAGGTGGGCCACCGCAGACCCTCCCGCCTGGCTGAAGAGGAGCCGGTGCAGGGCCGGAGGGAGGACTTTGACGCCGAGTCTCTCCACAGCTGGAAGAAACATAGGACAGCAGGTTGGTGTGGAAGAGGTTTTCGCCGGACAACAGAGGAGCGAAACTGCTGAGAGCCACAAACAGAGAAGCTGAGGCGGCTTTTCTGGTGCGAACTCACTGCTGTGGGGGGCTGAACGTGTCCGTAGGTCGGGCTGAGCCATCATCCATCCAAATTTACAGCGTCTAGAGTCGGTGCAGCCTCACGTCTGAGGTGGCTGTTGATGTTCAGTTGGAGCTTCTAGACGTTCCCGTTGGGAACATAACGGAACCATAACGGTCTGGTCTCTAGGTTATATGTCAACAATTTTCCGCCACAGTGGAAAATGGGGTCATAAATAACAAGATGAAGACTGAAGGGAGGAAAAGATACCCTGTGCAAAGTGACCTCAGGGTTCAGGTGGGAGGAGGCGGGGCCGCGCAGATTCTCCTGAACAGGTAAGGGTGCACAGAGGAATTCAAGCTGGTCAGAGCCAGAAGCTAATGCTAAAGGCTAACAGATGCTAACCTCTTTATAACTGTAGCTGTAACAAAGTCCAGGTGTGTCCAATGCCAGTGTCATCAGAGAGTGTCTGCAAACCTTCTGGACTGACCATGTTTTTAAGTAACGACGGATACTGATTTTCACTAGAGGAGCAGGTTTTTCCATAGTGTGGATGACTGTACTAGTGGAGTCAAGACGTTTGCTATAACGTTTCACCAAGCGTCTCATAGAGCCAGCAAGAAATTCCAGTGATTCACTTCTGACTCCCAACCTGTTCAGTTAACACCATCCAGGTGACGTCCCTGTGAAGCAGGGTAACACAAAGCTGCCATCAAACAGCGACGTAATCTGAAACAGGGCCTAGAGGGTCCAGCGAGAACCAAAACAACCTGACACCATAACCCACACCTTACCGCTCTTTGCTCCCCCCTGCTCTGTTTCTGAAGCTGCAATGTGAACTACGGATGCCTGATTGGGACAAACTGTACAAAATGCAGCCTCCAGTCTGAATAGATGTTAGCTGGCTAACGAGCTCATTGTCACAGTAACAGAGAGTGGAGCAAGGCCAATGGGACTGTTAGCTGCCCAGAGCTCCTCCATGGCCGTTTGACATGACTACTGGCGGCTCTTCCAACCTTGGCTAGGCAGCAGGCGGGGCTGATTTACAGACCGTACTTTGAAAGCACAAATAAGATAAGATCATCTTTATTGTCATTGCACAGTCACCTATACAATGAAATTGTCTTATTGTGTCTCATTTAAGGTGAATTGAATAAAATAAAATAATTAAGTACAGGAATAAGTAAACCCCACTCAAACCCACTACCCGAGAGACGCCGCGTCCTGGAGGAAATCTTTGTCAGTGCAGCTTTAACTATTTGTTACAGCCAACTTCCACCATCTATCACATTTGATTCAGCATCTTCATCTCCTCAGGTCAGAAGGACGCCAGCGGTACGGCGGCTGGAGGAAGGTCAAAGGTCACCTGTTAGAGGTGGGATGGAGCCTTGTGGCATTTGTCTGTGGGCTGCTGTTGGCGTCTATGTACGGACTCGCGGCACTCTTCCTGCAGAAGCAGTCGCTGTGGCTCTGTGTTTACACCACGCTGCCCGTTGCCTTCTTGGCAGCATTTGGTATGGGGCTTTCAGCTGGGGTCCGGGCCAACGTCATTGTGATGCTGCCCTCGCTGTGCTCAGGTTGGTCAGGAATGTTTGCTCCATCAGCTCTTAGACTGGTCCACTTCCTGTCAGGTGGAGACTGAGCTAGTCTTATTATTTTACTATGACATCTCATTTTAAGTCATGCTTTCCAACTCAGTCTAGTTAATATGTGACAGGGAAAAGAAAAGTCTAGAATAACACCAAAGTCTGTTCCTGTCAACAAGTTTGCTTTTAGAGCTGCTGTGTACATTGCTGTATTATTGATATACTAACTCCAATGTAAATCAGATATAATATTTGTCTCTTTCTAACATGCATTATGAAATTTCATATATTTTATTTATGTTTACATGTATATATTGACTGAATACAGGTACAGGGTTTTTCATATCTGAGAAACATGCAGAGGATGTATTTGAGGTACTTTTTCAGCCCTGTGTAGGTACAGAGAGATGGCCAGATGGTACAGGAGCTCTGAGGCTCGTTTGTACCAAATGAAAAACCAGGCCACTGATGACGTCTGAAGCTTCGCAGATCTCTGCTGCTGCACTGAGCCAGACTTTTGAAAATTATGCTGTTAAAAAATGGGAACATTAGTGGAATATGACGAGGTACTAAAAAGACATAAAAACCAGGCCACTGATGACGTCTGAAGCTTCGCAGATCTCTGCTGCTGCACTGAGCCAGACTTTTGAAAATTATGCTGTTAAAAAATGGGAACATTAGGAATATGACGAGGTACTAGAAAGACATAAACATAACATAACATTTCCACCTGGCACCAAGAAACAGTGTAGTAAAAGTAACAGAATAATTTAATGAAGACCATTTTCCAGTAACATCACACACATAAAGTCCATTAGTATTTAGTGCTATCAGTTGTTTATATCTAGGCTTTTTGAACAGTGCATTTATTCATTATTGTCACATATTGCACAGTAACATCTATTTTTAATGCAGCCCTTCTGAACAAAAGCACTACAGATTCAATAACAGCACAGCTTCTTGGACCGTTTTTGCCACATCCAAGATTGAAAAAGTTAAAATAAGTGCAGACCTTCAGCTCATCTCAAACAGCAAACCACCAGATGTCACTGTAGTTTCTCTGTTTGAAGCCCCAAAGCTTCATAAGGGTTCACTGGCTCATCGCTGACTTGTGCTTATGAGAAAACGAGGCAGAAGCCTGCGTGTGGCCTGAGAGGCAAAGGCCTGGAACTCACTAATGCTGCACATTAAGCATATTAATGTGAGCGCATGGTCATAAGTGGAGGTGAATCAGGAGCGCTGTGATGTGAACAGTAAGGCATTGAGTAGAGAGCAGGTAAAGATTAAAGCTCTTATTTGTTTCTTATGAATTCCTCAGTACAGATGCCAGTGACACTGGACAACAAACCCTCTGCTTCTTCAACACATCCTATCTATCATATACTGTTTTAGTGAAATGTTCACTTACATCACATGATGAAGTGCAACATGATGCAAACTCATTTTGCCGTCACACTTCTTACCCACAAATCAACACGTGACATGTCACCAGCTGCTGCAGAAGAAGAAAACCTGTAGCTGGACACTGTGACAAGATGCAACAGACACAGGGCGCAAACCAAAATCCACAAGGAAACACTTCAGCCCTGTTGAACGTCTGCATCAGAAACATGTTGCATTAAACATTTCAGTCAATAAACGCTCATTTCACATTTCATCTTTTAAGATGAAGTTTTATTTGAGTTCATTTTCAAAGGCCCTGTCATAATATCCACATCATTTTCAGGAAGCAAAACTTCTGTAAATCCTTTGTTTTCCAGTGCAATGACGAGCCCGGTAATGTGTGATTTCTATTGAAGCTGGTCTGGACGTCATTCATAAACTGTTCTGATGGAGGCTCCCTCACAGAGGTGTGGCTTCAGGTGGGTGTGCCCTGATCAGCCTAGCACAGGCCCTGCTCTCCTGTGTTACAGCTCACGGCAGGAACTTCCTTCTCTTCCTGTTTGCCTTCCTGTTGTTGTCCGGCCCGCTCACCAACACGTTAGAGAACACGCAGCGCGCTGCCTCCAGTCTGCTGTGTGGAGCCGAGCTGGCAGCCAATCAGACACGGGAACTGATGCAGAGGGCCACTACGCCCCTTTACTGTAAGCCCCGCCCACCACCACAATTACTTGTTTTACTGCTTCTACAACCACTAACATCACTGAAAATCCTGTCCTGTCGAGTTTACTCTAAGAGAAAGCATAATCAGTCATTTCAGCTCTACAGTACCAATGGGATTCTGGAGAAATAATGAAACCTTAATGTACAGTGTGGGCCAGTAGGGGCCCCACTACAAATATTTGTTCAGAGGCCCCTCAGGAGGTTAATCTGGCCACGACCACAACACTGTTTAGTGAACTGAGTAGTTCTCTTTGCACTTATCAGTGCCTTCATGTCACAGTAAAGGAGGCAGACCCCGGGAAGAAATTCTAACCTCCTGAAAGCAAATGCTGCTTCAGCCATGGAGGTTTTCACAGATTAAACCCACAATGTCAGTGTGTTCACTGTCTGGTGCTGTTTGTGTTGCCAGCTGTGTTGGACAGGATCAGAGAAATCACCAGTAACGCTTACGCTGCTGCAGGAAGAGTCCAGAACTTCATCCAAGCTCTGACCGACAGCGTCCGCCATGTTGGCAAGTAGCTTTTACACCTTTTACTGGATACCTTTTACTAATATTGTGTGACATAAAAATCAAGTAGTTTGTTACAAACAAAAAGATTTAAACACAGACAGCTACATACACACATATACACAGTCACTGTGTATCCTCAGCACTGACCTCTGACCTCTGTCATGCAGCTCGCACACTGAGGAACGTCCTCCACTTCCTGGTGGACATCGGGGACATCTGTAACGACACACTGGGTGCTCCGTACAGGAAGTGCCGGGAGGTGTTCACGGACTCTCGGACCGACTGCTTCAACCTGCTGGGAGACTTCAGCTACCTGTGTGACATCATAGACAGCTTCCTGCCGCTCTGCAACATCGCCCGCGGTGCGTTCACTGACATCCATCCTAACCTTAAAAGAGCATTACACTGATTACTTCGGCCAAGGAGGCTAGGTTTTTGGTTCTGTGTACCCGCGGTGCGTTCACTGACATCCATCCATCCTGGTTCTGTGTGTGTTGGCTAGCAGGATTACAGACAACAGGCTGGACGGATCATCAGCAAACCTGGTACAGACATTGGTGGGGACCAACTCTAGAAGTGATTAGATTTGGGCTGAAAAAGGTCAAAGGTCACAAAAAAATAAAATCACAAAATCCCATTTTTAACATAGGGAAAAACTTAAAAATCCATATCAAAATTATTCCAAATTTGACATGCACATGTAGGGAGGGAACGTCTATCACCGGACCAAATTTCATCCAGATCTGATCCAGATTCCGGATCTGACAGCCATTTAGAATTGACATTAAAACCCCACATATTTTCCACAATAACTTAGGTTCAGTCTTCATTACAGTCCGACATGTTCAGGTAAGATGCACAGTATAACTGCCTGTCATGCCCTAAAAGATGATCCGGATCAAGGATTTAGGACACATTTTGTTTTCTGGATTTAATTTTTCACAAGGGGCCATTTATGTGAGTAAAAGCTGTGCCTTGGTGGAAGTATGTGCGCTCTCTGGGTGCTCTTGTTTTACACATGGAGTCCTCTGTGTGGGCTGGTTGACATGCTGCAGACTAAACCTTGTCATCCTCTCTGTTAGTCACATTTCACACACAAAAAAGAATTTGACTAGAAAACCTGATTCATTTGTTCTTTTATGAGTAAACAGGAAAAATCAACAAAAAACAACTAGTCAGATACATCAAGGCATTTAAAATCATCTTAGACTGTGGGCAACTGATTACTTATATTAAAAATAATAAACAATGAATCAGTACAAAAGTTGTTTTAAAGATTAATGCACAGTGAGAACATCATTTTAGAATAAGTCTAAACGCCCACTGCCCACCTAGATATTTCCATCCATCAGCCAAACTCTGTTCAGTTTTCACATATTTTAAAAAACTCTCATGATCTCATTTATTTCAATGTATTTTATTTAGTTTACTTTTAAATGAGAAACTCACATATTTAAATATATAAATAATTAACATGTGGCCTACAGTGTCCTCAACCAGCCCTACAGTTAATCTTTCCTGATCTACCCTCATTTTCATAATGTTTGCTTCTTTCAGCTGATGAGCTCTTTTGCATCCTCCCCTCCTACATCGCCAGCCATCTGAAAAAACACCTGGCAGCTCGTAGGTTACCTGTTTCAAACTGTTTTTAAACTTTACTGACAAACTGTTCTCTGCTGCGACCACTGAGTCTCTCCCGCTTCCTCCAGCTGTCGTTACAGCGTTTGAGCAAATGAAGCGTGAGTTTGACTTCAACATCTCTGCCTCAGTGAACTTTGACCTGGATGCCAACATGAGCCACTCTCTGCAACAGATGTCTCAGGACATCATGGAGGAGGTCTCCTCAGAGCTGCAGCTGCTTCAGAAACTCATTGACCCGTTAAAGTACGGCAGCCTCGTGCTGCTCGCCTGCTCATTCCTGAGGTCCGGACTCACTTCAGTTTGCTTCTACATGCAGCCCACATGCTAAATATTAGCATGTAGCATTGTAACCATAGTAATGCATGCTAACAGGCTAACATGTTCACATTGACATGTGAGAGAAAATGACATTCTTCTCAGTTTTAAACCTGGGGGTACAATGAGCAGCAGAGTCTATGGGGGGCACTGCTGTGTTCACTTTAATCTTGTCGACTTCTCTGTTTGTGCAGGGCAGTGCGCTACAGGCGCAGGTATCTCCGTGACCTCAGCTTTGATAACATTTACATCAGTGCTCAGTTTGAGGAGCTCGACCAACAGGTGACATCAGCGGGCGGAGCCTCCGTCCTGCCAATCACACGCAGCGAAGCCAAGACCTACATTGCCCCACGTCAGTGCGCCTGAGATTATCTTTTTGTGGTTGCATATACAGTACACATTTTAGCTGAAAACTATCACCCAGGAGTGAGACAGCAGTTAGAAGCAGCTGGTGGGTTCTTATTCATGAAGTGATGTGAAGGGAATGAGACCGAAGTTTCCTGTCTGTCCTGTAGTGTTGTTTTGACCCTGGCCTTAGGGAAAATGGAAATAACATGCATGGCTCCCCACCCATCCCACTGCAGGAATAGACAGAACAGAGTGAATCAAAATTGTTATTTGCTCTGGAGTTGAACAGTGCCCAAACTAACAAACAAGCAAACAGGGTTCCCTAATCTTACCTGGTTCCAATAAAGGTCAGAATAAAATACAGGGTTTTCTTACCTGAACCCCTAAAAATAAAACAGGAGAAAATGTGCATACAAACAAAAACGGCTTCTCATTCCTACCAGCAATCTGAAAGCAAAACCGAAAGTTCCACAGAATCTAACTCACCACTAACAATCACACAAGTCACAGTATTCAAATCCAAATCTCTTACTCTAGCTGAAGGTCAAAAACTATCACAGATTCTGGCATCAGCTGTTGGTGGTGGCAGAGGTGGAGCAGGAAGAAGGTGGCTGTCATCTGTGATGTCATCTGCCGATCCAGTCCCATGGCATCAGTCATCTGTGAGCGGACCACTCACTGCACTGAAGTGACCCCTATTGTTTCGTCTGTTCTGCAGTGTCAGTTCACCTGACGGCCAGAGAGCAGCGGGCGGTCGCAGTGGGCGTGGCCTCGGTCTTCAAACACCTGGTGATGGGCAGCGTGCTGGTGGCACTGGACTTCCTGGTGTTCTGGATGCTGGACCAGGTACACCACCAGGTGAAGGGGGACGTGGTGGCCCGAGGTGAGGTGCCTCTCATATGAACATGAACCTGTGATGTCATTTGGAGCCCTGGTGAGGGTGGTGACTATCTGTCCTGTCAGCTCCGGTCACTGTGGAGGTGCAGGTGAACGGATCGGGTTACGCCTCAGATATCTACAGAGACCTGGTGGCTTCAT